TTGAAGCTTCGCCAAGAGAGTTAACAACGGGCAGTCTGACTGTAGGATTGACCAGGTCGCTGCGTATTTCTGGCCATCATTGCGGGACCCTCAGGCGCATGAAGATTACAAGGCCCTCTCCTGCGAGTCTGAGGGCACCCCTCTTGGATTTGAGAGACCGAATCCTTCTTCTTTTGCCCTTCTCAATCTAAGTCTAAGTCTATTTGGTTACGAGAGGAAGGCGGCAGGCGGGATTGCATCCCGTAGGACCGCAGCAAGACTCTGTGGGGAGTCAGCCCACCGATTGCGGGAGCTCTGCCGGAACTAAGGAGGAGTTCTGGAGGCAGGGAACTGAAAGGTAACCATTGCTTTCCCTCAATAAACCTAGTTATAACCCTTATCTGTATTACCCGTTGCATCCTTGACTGAGTATCTGGTGTGCAACCCTACTTTGACCTTAGTGTGACTTTCAGGACACTTAATCAGACTAAGTTAAAGAATGTCTGCTCAATTTCAGTTTCAGCTTTATTGATTGTATGAAATCAGATTGCTTAAAGAAATTGCATCTAGGGAAGGCAGGATGGAAGGCAGTCTTGCGTGAGGTTTGACTGGGTCATTAAGGCTGGGAGGTCCCCATAAGTCTGGGGAGACCCAGTGCTGTGAGTTTGCATGGAGGGTCAGGCTGTTCTATAAGTTTAGGTGACCTGACTGCTTTGACTTGTGAAGGCTGACTGTGTTTGACTTTTCAGGGGCCAAGTGCATTTTGTAAGTTCAGGTGCCTTGGTTGCCTTGTTTAACTTGGGTTTTCCACTTGTTTATTTGGTTTTGAACGAGGAGGTCCTAAGCCATTCTATAAGTTTAGGTGGCTCAGCCTCTTCCTGCTTTTGTTCTGAGAAAAATGAACCTGACAGAGGGCGGATCGTTCTGTAAGTTCAGGTGATCTAGCCCAACGCCACCACAGAATGGATCAAAGAGAAACGAATTAGGCAGAGAGCCAAACTGTTTTGTAAGTTCAGGTGGTCTGACTCAAAGCCTCGCACATGCTGGAACCCAAAGGTTATAACTTGGCTATACTTTACTATTATTCTATTTAAGAACATGCTATTCTGACTATTCTATAAGTTTAGGTAGTATGACTATAGCCGTATCACGAACTGAAGAGAATATTAATTAAGAATAAATTGGTGGTAAGATGGGGCAGACTGAACTTAAAGTTTGGTTCAGTCATATGCAACCTTATAAGACTAAGGTCAGACAATTATATAAAGTTGGGGTATTTAAACAGTTCAGGGCGACTGGGATGGCCTAGTTACATGCCCAAAGAAGAGAGAAGTAGTTGTATCCTCTGTTTTGTGTATATTCAAAGGCTAAGTTAGGCAGGTTCTATAAGTTTGGGTGACCTGACTTTACGCCTTATGAAAGTTGGGTACAAGGGTCAAATCACTGAAAAACTATGAACTATTGTTTGTCCAGATTTACTTGGGGCTGGTGAGAGTACTTACCTTTGTGGTTTGACCTGCATGTGGCTGAGTGAGATGACTACCTGATTTGAGTTTCAGTTTGGTAGGTAGTTGCTTTAGATGCTCGCCACGTGCTAGAGCGATAGGAGTTAGTTTCAATTCCTGCATTTTATGTGGTAGCTTTTCTTTACTTAGGTCAATTCTTGCATTTTCTGGGATCATTTTTTTTATATACTTGGTTTTGTATAAATTTTGGCAAACAAGAAGCGCTGCCGAAATTTCTACAAATCTAAGGAGTTAGTCAATTTTTGACTTGTCAAAGTTCAACTTGTCTTTTCTTTATATCTGACCTAGTAAAAATCTGAAAGGTATGCTTTTCTAAAGGGAGTGCTGCCCAAATTTTTGCTAATTCAGGGAGTTAGACAAAATTTGACTTTCTTAAGTTAAGAGACTATTTCAGTTTTCATATTTGAGCTTGTATAAATTCTGAGAAGACACTTTTCCTATGGGAAGCGCCGCCGAAATTTTCCTAGTTTAGAGGAGTTAAATTATAATTTGACAGGTGACGATTCTGGTAATCCACTCTGTATAGGGGAGATTATATCAGGGTTTGCCTTTGATTTGAACACTGCTTAAAGGTAGATTTGGGCTTAGTCAACTATAAGGATCTTGGGTGAGAACGTGTTATGGAGTTGTATCCTCCATACACTTATGATTCTAGCTTGGGGATTCGCCTATCTTGTGATACAGGTCCTCTGGATCGTTTGATTCAGGACTTGGACTAGTTCAGCTTGATCTCACAAGGATCATCGTCTGTTATCAGTGGTAACAGGTCGGTTGGTTGATCGTCGACTTGTCGGCTCACAACACAACTTGCTTACACCTGTACCTCAACTTGCTCGCCTTAGCCCTGAGATTTGATATGTTTCTTTGAGGGTTTTAACCGAATTTCTTTTAAATGGCCATTATAAAGAACTTGTAAGATTCATGAAAATTTTGATTATGACTGGGGCTTGAGTGCGTGAGGCATGGTGTGAGTTACAGATTGGTGTATGACAATGTGGCTATTGTGTGTGTCTGTGTTTTATGCAGGTTAGTATCTTGGAGCTTGGTATATGGGTCATACTTTGGAGGCAGTGAGAATGACAACCATGTGTCACACGATCTGCATACCTAATAGGTCTATGTTTCCCCTTCCTTTGTTGTTATCTCGATATCTGATTTGATATATAAGTGGTGGGGTGTTTATTTATTTATTGGATGATTTTGCTTGTTAATTTTTATAGTTGGACGTTGTAGTCCGTGACAGCCGTCAAAGTCAAACCCCTTGACTTTTGCCCAAGCCTGGAGTGGGGCTCATCTCCTGGGCAGTAAGAGACGACTGCCACCACAGGTATGGACCTGTGTACCACCCACTCTGCACAGAGTGCAGAAGAGGGTGTGTGGTCTTCAATTGCGCTTGGCGGTTGTCCAGCGTCGAGAGATCAATCCCTCAAGGCGCGTGTCAACCGACACTTGAGTGTCGAACGCGACCCTCGAGGTTAACGAGGACCGCATAAGTATGGGTACTACATAGTATGCCATCACTGCGACCGCTTGCGTACGCTTGCATTGCGAGTCGATATGAGTTAGCCCTGCAAAGTCTCGCACGCGACGCCTATCCGATTTCCGCATCGGAAAGTTATGGGATGGCTACTAAGGGACTAGGAGTGTTGTCGCGTTGTTTGTTCAGTATCGTTCAGTATATGTATATGTGCGTGTGAGTGCGTTTTATTTTTATGTTCTTTATAGTGGTGTGCGCGTGGCGTGTGGGATGCGTCCTAGTTGACCGGCTACGAGCCGCGTGTGTTCATTGCGGAAGCAAGCACTGTTAATAACTGTCATAGCTACGAGGCTAATGACTTATTATGTAAATGATGTGCCAGACCCGCTTTAGGATGTAAAGACGTTAAGTTGAGCCGTCTCCCCCTGGTCAGTAAAGTGTCGCTTTAGATGAGGTTTCTAGCACGTGAGCGACATAAGTGAGGGGGTAACTGATGAGTGCGAAATGAGGGGTTTGGTGACAAAGGTATTTACTTGAGCCCAGACCGAGTTGTGGTGCGATGGGTAGTGCAATTAACATTGTGTCTTGATCCTTCGATAGTATCAGTTGGTGATGGGGTGAGTCACTTGGAGATTGTCTAGTTATAGCTATCGATAAAACTAAAGAAGTAGTGGTTATTTGATTAACAGTGTGGCTAACCCGAAGAGAGACTTATGTTTTAAGTATGTGTAATATATACGTATATATTTGTTTTTATGACAATTTTTATCGGGTTGTTGTCGTATATGCATTGTTTTGTATTTTGTTTGATGTCTGATTGACAACGTATGTATGGATTGTTTTTCAGAGGGGACATAGACTTTGCATGAAACCCACATCTGGCATGGGACCAGAGGTGAATGGGGTGACTCATTCCTTGGGAAGCTGGTTCTTCCTCAAGGGAGTGGGTCAGCATGAATAGTTGTCCTCAGTGGAAGTGCATTCTTGAATTGTCATTCCCTTGTTAAGGCTTAAGGAAGCAGTTATCAGTCTAAAAAATGATAGTGAGACCCACGCCGGAATTATATTCCTGGTCCAGTGGTGGAGTGTTTATTTATTTATTGGATGATTTTGCTTGTTAATTTTTATAGTTGGACGTTGTAGTCCGTGGCAGCCGTCAAAGTTAAACCCCTTGACTTTTGCCCAGGCCAGGAGTGGGGCTCATCTCCAGGGCAGTAAGAGGCGACTGCCACCATAGGTATGGACCTGTGTACCACCCACTTTGCACAAAGTGCGTGTGGTCTTCAACTGCGCTTGGCAGTTGTCCAGCATCGAGAGATCAATCCCTCAAGGCGCGTGTCAGCCGACACTTGAGTGTCGAACGCGACCCTCGAGGTTAACGAGGACCGCATAAATATGGGTACTACATAGTATGCCATCACTGCAACCGCTTGCGTACGCTTGCATTGCAAGTCCATATGAGTTCGCCCTGCGTCCGCGGTGTTTTATACAAAGTCTCGCGCGCGACGCCTATCCGATTTCCGCGTCGGAAAGTTATGGGATGGCTACTAAGGGACTAGGAGTGTTGTCGCGTTGTTTGTTCAGTATCGTTTAGTATATGTATATGTGCGTATGCGTGCGTTTTATTTTTATGTTCTTTATAGTGGTGTGCGCGTGGCGTGTGGGATGCGTCCTAGTCGACCGGCGACGAGTCGCGCTTGGGACCTCATCCCCCCCAAGATGCCGGTTCGCGGGCGGGCTCGATAGAGGCGTAATACCGCACGTACCCCCTATGCTACAGCCAACGAGAAACGCCCTCGACTGGTCCACCTCTGCGATTGCAGCTGATTAGCTTTCGTATTGTAGACAGGTAACTCAGTGGGGATACGCCCACTGAAGGGAGGTGACAACTCCTGTAAGGTGGAGGTAAGTCGTGCCTCGGGTAGGCCCTATCCTGTCGTAGGGGCTCGCGGGAGGTACGGCTGGCGCACTCGGCCGGAGCGGCTTGCGGAAGCTCCATGTACATTTACGAGGAAGGTGTAGTTCAACTCCTGTGTGACGAGGCCGAGAGGGTCCCGCGCTGCTTCGTGAGGCGTCGGACCGATGCGCCCGACAACGACCCTCTGCGGCGGAATGTCACCGGACAGAACTCCTTGCGCACGAGCCGTCCCGCCACCGCCACCGCGCGTGGACGTGAGGACGCCAAGGTTGGTGAGCGCAAGCATACGCTGTCTGCTCACACCGTCTCGCCCGAACCCGAGCGAAGGCGTGCCTGCAGAAGTGATGTCCATAGGTGTCACCTCCTCTCCCCCGTCACCCCCCATCTCGCCTTCCGACCCGTCTCCCACGCGGAGCTTCTTCGACTTTGGGACGTGGCCAGGGAAGTCGCCAGGGATCTTCTTGTGCGGGCGATGTTCAGTTCCCCGCGCAGCACAACGGAAACCCCACGCGTGGCCTTGCGTGCAGTCGAGAACCAAAAGACATGGACAATCCACCAACGGCCGCCTGACGGTGACCATCCATTGTCGGCGGCACTCCTCCGCGGGCGTTCGTGTCTGCCACATTGTCCGGGTAGATGGTCTTGTTATTTTTCGACATGTTGTCGATCTCATTGAAGACTCGCTCATCCATTCGAAAGTTGAAGCCCTCGTCCGCTCTCGTTGCAGGAGTTAATGTGAAGAAGCTCTTCCCACCGGACATGTTCTGGTAACGCTGCACCTTCTTGTACTGCTGGAAGACCTTATCCCACTTCTTCCCGATGTCGTCCGTTGCCCTGTTCACTCCGGCCTCCGCCAGCCGCTTCTGTAGGTCTAGCAGCTTCCACTCCCTGTTGCGCATGCTGCCGTAGTTGTGCGACATTCCCTCAAAATGAGCTTGTTGATCCCGCTTCGCCCGAGCGAGCTTCAGCATCTCCTCCACACTCCATGTTGGGTGCTTGCCACACTTGTCGCCCACAGGAGCCTTCAATCCTCGGCCACCACGCGACTCGCCCCTCTGCTGACGTTCGCGCCTCCCCTCCGCCCACCACGCGCAGTTACGGGTCGGATCTCCAGCCCCTCACCGTCTTCCGCGTCGTCTTCGTAACGGGAATCCGGAGACTCGTCCCCACTCGCCCGACGACTGTCGTCCGCATCCACGTCGCTCCCCACACGCAGCCTAGACACACCGGTAGTTATGTTCTCCGCGGCAGCACGCCGCATCTGTAGGAGGCAGTTCTCCCACGCCTGCCTCCCGATGTCTTCCGGTGGAGTCCCATCATTGATTGCAGCACTTGCGGTCGCCCTCTTTGCAGGCGAAGACACCGAGGGGCGGGTGGGTGTCACTGCCATTGACGACTCGCCAAGTGGCCCGGCGCCCATGGAACTCGAGACCGGTCGACAACACCCATTCGTCGGCCCACCGACACGGGACGATCCTCCTCCGAACGTCGGCGCTCCCACCACCCCCCCGCCGTGGATCGGACCACTTGCACCACTCCCGCTGCACAATCCGAAATCCAAGTCCACAAGCTCCGTGGTGGCGTTGTCGACACCCTCCTCCAGCAATGCGGTGAACGACTCGCGCGTGGTCCCTGCTTCCCTCTGCTGGCACTGCCTGCTCGTCCACTCCTGCGTAGATCCGCTCCCCAGAGGAAGTGTGTGCGACAGATCCTCAACCTAGGCGTCCTCCGGATCCGGCAGCAACCGCTGCTCGTGCGGTGGAAGATGACTGTACAAGGACGGGTCATATGCGGCGGGTCGATGGCCGGACAGGGGCTGATCAGGAATGGAGAAATCCATCACGCGTCTTTGCTGTCCGACGGAGCTGTCCCGTCTGTCCATCGTCGTCTTCCTATCCACTTGTCGTCTCTGTCTACGCCCAAGAGGCCGCAGCACGACGAAGGCGCGCAAAAAGACGAGAAGAAGCAGCAGAAGAGTTGCTAGTAACAGGAGCGGTAGCTGCCGGAAGATGTCTGCCATGAAACGCACCACGTGTAGATGACCACCGAACGGACAACCCTCACGCGCGCACGCGAATGGCAGCAAACGGGCCGGCCGGCRACAACATCACACCCCGCACRTAAAACAAATTTCRAAATATTCGACYGTTGGACACGACGCCCGACGAAGCGCAGAAGGAGAACCCCACCGCTCCGACGTCTGTCGCACCCGAAGCTGGACCCCTGGCCGTGTACGCGCGAACGGTAACACCACAAGGCCGTTGGTGACCTCCCGCCAGTTGGAAGCCGATATTGTCCGCCCAATGGACCACGGACGTCATGTGCACCAGCAAAAACAGAAACTTTTCGTGTCGACGCACGCTCAACGATGGCCTGTCTATCGCGGATCCTTGAGCCCAAGGGACCTCTCGAGGACCCCTTGAATCCAAGGACGCAATGGCTGGGGATTCCGAGGGACCCAAGGAAATCTCTTGGGAGCGTTTTCACATTTTTTCAAGGATTTTTGTTTTTTAGGACGCGGTGTAACCATAACTTTCGACATTCCTGAGGATTTTCAAGGAGGGTCTAACGAGGCCCTAAGACGGTAGTGGAACCGCTGCCCAAGATGGAAGAGTAAAAGGTCCGGAGACAATGGTCACTGGCCTCTACAACACCCTGGGCTTAAACCACTACCGTCTTCCCCCGAACATAACGCACCCTAAAAATGAATGTATACAAGCTATATACTTCCGGCCAGATACAGCCGAAATGAGGGTGCGTTGTGTTCGGGGGAAGACGGTAGTACCTCAGAGTCTGCCAGTGTTGGAAAACTATTTGGTGTCTGATCATATCAGCACCCCTAGTAGTCGCTTGGGCTGTTTCTTTAAAAAAAAAAAAAAGACACAAGATCGGCTGGCAATTCTCCCCACCAAGCTCCCATCGACATCCAACATGTAGGCAGCCAACAACTACAACAACTACAGCGACATGATGTCAAGAGTCCATGTATGGAATGTCAAAGGAAGGCCAGACATAGGCTGTCAGGTAGGCAAGCAGTTCAGAGTGCTGTGTAGTGCTTCCTGCCTCCATCACAAATTCATTTCAAAAATCAAACAGATTATATATTCAGGGACGCTGGATCCTATTTCCAGCAGGTGCTGCTCCCCACCAATAGATGGAGCCTCCCGGGGATTGCTAGTGGTGTCTGCTTTTATCAGCACCCCTAGCAATCTACTGGGTTGTTTTGTTAAAAAAAAAAAAAAAGGKGGAGCCTTGTATTATTACTTTAGGAAGGCAGGGTAGGAGTAGAAGTAGGCGTAGGGGCAGAGTTAGATGTAGAAGTATCTTTCCAGTAGTTTGCCAGTGGTAGCATTAGGAAGTAGCAGTAATGTAGGACTTGCAGCCTCCGAGCTGCTGGGTTGAGAGAGACCCGCAGGGCCGCAGGCATAGCCTGTAAGCTAAGCTGGATGATGCTTCCAGCAATTTGCATCCGGGAGTAATGTGGAGGTCCCCGGCCTCCGATGGAATTTTGAAATTAATTGATTTTGAGTTATATATATATATCGTCACATATATATATCGTCAAATAGAACTGCCCGGTAAACCGTAGGCAGAGAGGGAGAAGAGGACAACAAACGAGGGGCTGTGACATATATATATATATATGT